CTTGGGCAAATGGTTCAGGCTCCATCTCATACCAAACAACTCTCTGTGGACCAGAGGCTTTGCAGTTGTGTTGATTTGCAGGCTAGGTCTCCCTTTTCAGGGAATGGAATGGCAGCTAACAAACTGGTCTGAGAAACAGTTCCTTTCTTTTGCACTGTTCACAGACGTATGTTCACATTCCAGTCCTGCTACAGCATCCACTTATGGGATACAATCATTGCTGTCCTTTGATGACAAAAAATTGTGATTTGTAAAGAATAATCAGTTTTGTTTTCTCTTCAAACTCTATTTTACTGGCTAGTTATTATGGGAAACCAAACCTCGAAAAAGAATTTGTAATCTTCAGAGTAAACTTAATGAAAAGTACTATTCTGTGATTGGAGGGGGTAATGCTGGAGCATAGGTGATCTTGCTGTATAAAACAGCCTGAAAATATTGACCTTTTTTTTCTTCAAAATATTTTATTAAACTAGTTCTGTATCAGCAAATCTTTTTTGTTTTTCTAGGATTGAAGTATTTATTTCAATATGCTGAAGCAAAGCGGTCCATATGATCCCCAGGTGAAACAGACAAATGGAATCCCATGATGTAACCTGTTTAAGTTTCCAACACAACGAGCATCATGCCTTGTGCAAAGATCTGCTAAGGTTTCATCAGCAGTTTTGTGCATGATCTTTAAAATCTAAAACAGAAAGGAAAGTTAATCTCCTGGAAGTAAAAGAAAGGAGCAAAATGAAACTTGAGCAGGCATAAAGGAGATCAACACCAGACAGGGAAAACAGACTGTTCCTTGGTGAAAAAAACAGATAAAAGAAGTTTCTGCAAGCTGGAAGGAACCAGCTGGAGCTGTGTTCCATTAGGATACACATCAAAACGACGTGGATAAAACTTGTCATTTCTTTTAAGGCAGGTCTTGATTAAGTTCATTAAGACCACAATCAGAGTTCAAACCACCAAAGTTTTATTAATAATAGATCTGTAGTGTTTCTTTTGGATTTCTCTGTCAGTTCATACCTTGTTTTGAAGGGCAGGAACAATGTTATTCTCCCTGTTCTAACATTATTAATTGGAGGAAATTCAGGCAAAAATAGAAAACTGTTATGAAATCTGTATTATACTTAGACTGCTCTTAATATCCTTTTGTCAACAGGAACATTCCTATTTACTTCTGTGCAGCCAAACTCAGACGAAAGGTGAATTTACAATAGCTAGAGGTTAAAGACAACCTTTTCAAACTGGAATGTCTAAAGGCAGGCACCAAAGTACCTAACAGAAAGTTACAGCAGTGGCCAGCATTACTTCGTTGACATTTAAGTTTGAATATTTTCCTCTGCGTGGCTTGTTCAAACTGACACTACTGATCTGAAGCATAGCTGAAACCCCTTGATTTGTTGTCATTTTATAGGAGCTGCATTGTGTCATTACACAGTCAAATTCTGAAAGTTTTTATGTTATTCTAAAAGTCTACACTTTCATCACATCACTGAGAGCACGGCCACTGATGTGAAAGTGAACCAAGTAACTCTACTGCACCAGTAATAGGAGGCAAGAATTAGGATTGATGCTTCATTTTAATTATAGTTAGGTGTAAACAAAAATACAATCTCTGAGTTAAATTTACAGAAGGAATTGATTAGCAACTGACAATGGAAAGTGTTCATCCTCTATTCTATGGATACTCCTAACCAAATGTCAATTATAATTGATTGCCTAGGCAGTGTATTCCACTGGTGTTAAAACAGGATGAGCTACTTCTTTTTTGCCTAAAGCTAAGAATCCTGACATTCCGACAATCCTTTATATAACTTCTCAAAAGAAAATCTGTAAGGTTTTACATTTGACAAGTATTTTGTATTCTTGCTTTCTTAGTAACATATGTTTTCATCAGTCTTAAAATGAACTATTTATCTGAAATGCACTGTTCATTAGGAAACTGTTATAGATTTATTGTGTTACAGAATGAAGACCACTATCCCTAATGTAGTTGTGGTTACCTGGAAGAAAATTCAGTCTCTAAAACTCAAAAAAAAGGAAGGGGAAAATCCATTTTCTTTGGTAATACATTTACAATCAATTTTAGAGATATCATTTCTATACAAAGTAATATGGAGCGTTTTTCTAATTTTTATTAATAGGGAATATGGTGTCAACATAATTATCAGGTAGATTATGGGCGTTATATCCTCAAACCTTCCCTTAACATTGTTTTCATATTCTTTTCTGATTTGTCATATCAGCAAAATTAGACTTTGTACTCTAAAGAATAATTTAAATTATTGCTCTCAATGATCTTGGAGGTCTTTTCTAGCCTTAACAATTCTAGGATTCTATGAAATACCCTCAATGCCAGAAAATTACTTTTCCATTATACAATAGAAATTAGTGAAAAATTAGCGCATATATATATATATATATATATATATACTTTTGAACCATTAAATTTTGAGGTTCTCTTGTAGTCTGCCTGGTATTTTTACATGACAGGACAGCAGCTAGTATATCCCAAAACACCACAATCTCTAAGAAAAACATTAATTAAATTATTTTGCAAGCCACATTTTTACATTAATTAGATTCTGAGCACATTGTGATTATTGTTTATCCATTTTCTTTCAGAAATAACTTTTGATTTCTTTGTAATAATTTTAAAAATACATTAGTGCTTTTCAGATGTTATAATTTGGCATAGCTTTATTAATTCAAATTGATTTACACCTGATTTACACTTTCTGAAAACCCAGTCCACTTCCATTGCAGCTGTAGTCACTGATAAGTATGCATTCACTCTCCACAGATGAGGAAAGTAAGAGACCACACAAACTCAGGTTTTTTTATATTCGGTATGTTACAGGGAGGCAGAAACAGAGAGGAAGAGGATGTTTCTTATATTTAATTGAAAGGAAAATCAAAGTAAAAACTGCCAATACAGTAAAGAGTTAATGAACATATGCTGTTCATAGTTGCTATAAAGGTCAGTTCATTTATTTGCACTGAGTTTAACTGGACTATAATGGAAAGTAATGGGAAAGTTTTGAAATCCCTTGTGAATAATAATTTTTTTTCCCATCTGAAGTGTTGTAAATCTGTTTAGTTCCTCTCCTAATATATGATATGTTTTACAAAATAATAACCAATACTCAGTAATTGGTTTCCATTTATTAAAAATGGACGTGTATAAAATCCCATGTGAATTACATGTTAAAGGAAAATTGTCTTTCATTTTAATCATCTCAGACATTAACTATTGTAAAATACCAGCCTGAGGCAGACATGAAAACAAGTAATGAAGTCTTAGGCCCACTGAATTCAAAGCCTCAACTTTACACCAAAATGGAACATCCATTTTCCATCTGAATTGAGGCACTACAGAAGTTCCAGGCTAAGAATTTCACTATACTAGAAACTGAAGAAATTAGCAACTTTTGTGTAAGTACTATAGATGAATGAAACTTCTTGAATCTGAACTCTATTACTCTTTGCAAATATGGGTTGTGTGCTAAGAAGAAAACCTAAATCACTCATCTATAAAGTGTGCCCACACACAAACACTCATATGCACAACTGTGAGCACATACATTCACAATTACATTACGTGAAGTGCTCTCACCCCCCAAGTTTCTTTAATTTAGAACCACATCACCTGCCTTAATTTGTTCATAGTGTTTTTGCTGACTGATTTTGATAAAAGACACAATTTCTGCAAATTCTTTTACTTACTAGCCTCTAGACCTTTAAAATTAATTTACATATGCCTGAAATATTCATTGAGTCTATTTTAGGTAATAATATATTTATCTTCTCTTATGATATAATAATAGCAAAATAATTCAGTGTGACATACTACCTAGTTTTACTCTGCCGTGGTCACATACTTAATAGTCTGAAATATAAAAAGTTCATTCTGTATTCTCTTGTGATTATTAATTTAAATCTTCATTAAAAGAATTATTTAATCCCATTATGATAGTCTTTTATTTGTTGCTCCTTAGAAACATTGAAGTACAGATTTCTGCTAAAATTTTAGTATTCTTTTACTCAACTTTCAAAGAATCCTAGAATGGTTTTAGTTGGTACAGACCCTAAAGATCATCTGGTTCCAACCCCTCTGCCATAGGCCTTCCACTAGACCAGGTTGCTCAGGGGTCCATCCAGCCTGGCCTTGAACACTTCCAGGGATGAGGGAATCCATAGCTTCTCTGGGACATCTCTTCCAGTGACTCGCTGCCCTCACAGTAAAGAATTTCTTTCTAATATCTAACCTGTATCTTCCCTTTTTCAGTTCTAGGCCATTACGACTTGTCCTGTCACTCATTTATTCCCAAAAACATGGCTCCAGGTGGAATCACATAGGTGTACACATACCACACGCAGCAGTAGTTGTTATAGATGTACAGAAGCAAGAACTGCCATAACTTGTGTCTGTAGCCAACAGAGAGACCTGGATGTACTCTCCTTACTGGAAACCTGCTGTCTGTGCACTAGGCTGCCTTTTGTCAGGCCTTATTATGCTTCAGCAGTGCACAGTCTTTTCATGTCATACAAATATGAATAATTGAAACAAATGTGATTATTCTTTCTTTCTTTCTTGCACAGTGTATATAATGACTTATTAATGATTTTTTTGTTATAAAAATACAATTTAGGCTGAACTATTTCTTGTTGAGACAACTGTTAGAGGCTGGCTCAGGGTGACTGATGTACAAAGCAGATGTATGATATTCAAGATTTTGAACATCTTGTTGAAAGATAGTGTGAAATAGGCACAACAATAACACTGAGGACAGGAAGAGAACCAGTACAGCTAATATGTCAACTACTTCCACAGTAGTAGTTGATGCAGCCACAAATCTGATGGAGGCAAAAAAAGTGCCACACTACACTTCTCTGTCAGCATTGATACAGAGCTCACCAAACAATATTAATCGGGGAGACTGAGCATCTCATAAAAGGTACTTCTGAGATTAACGTTTTTCCAACCAGACATTTCAGATTGCTCACAATTTGCAGATTTTTGGTATTTTTATTATTCTTTAAATGAAAAGAACCACAGCAACAGTTTTGGGGAGAAAAGTTGACATTAATAAAAATTCAGTGCATGGAAAAAGCACTGAAGAATAAATAACTTAAAGAAAACATGGGTAACATTTGAAAGAAGGTGACTGCTTCATAGCGACGTAATTCTGTAGCTAGGACACAGGAGCAGATCTCCAGTTCTGCCTCCGACCTTCAGGCAATTCATATGCCTCTATTTTGTCTGTCACTCGATACCAATCTTCTCTTTGAAAAAGACATTGGTTTTACGGAGCATACTTGCACTGTGCTGACCACAGTCTAGCTATGAGTTCAGCCCAGGCCTCTGACTGCTGCATAAATAATAATAATAGGACCACATTAATAATTTGGAATATAGCTTCATCATTTGAGAACTTTGGAGGTCCTTTTAGAAGACATAACACAGATTTATACTGACTAATACCTACAATACTCTATTATAAATTGCAAACTTGATTAAGAAATTATTGTGCGCAGTTCTGTCCTCTGATGTTAGTACAAGCAATTGGAAATTTTTCTTCAGGCATTAAAATCAATGAATCAACAAATAGTAATGTGACAGGCTTTATTCCTTATGTTTCAAATTAAATTCAAATTGCTTTAGATTTTTTTTAATATCATAAATGCAATCTTAATATGATATTGCTTGCAATATGGCCAAGCTAATGCCTGAGGAGAAATCTCTTTCTTTAAAAGCTCATTTTCCTTAGAGAGCTCAATTTTTCATGTTTAACATTAAATTTACTTGAGCTTTTGTACCATTTTTTCCTGTTGTTAAACCAATCGACATTAATCTGTATAACCAGTTGCGAGATCCTGGATCCGAATCTCACTGAATTATGGATGTGGGTCGGAACCAACTCACAGTGAGTGTCTGAGTGCGTGTGGGGAAGGGCTGGGCCTGGACCTGCAGGAACATGGCAGGGCCTGCACATCAGGCCTGTGCTGAGGGCACAGGGCAGAGCTGAAGGCGAGGCTGTCAGAGGCTGAAATGTTTAATGATTTATGCATTCTAGGAGACTTTTGCAGGCTTTTGACTTGCATTTCGGATGGACAGTTGGGCCCATCCCTCCCTCCAGTAAAGAGCCAAGTTTGCAGACTTTTGACTTGCATTATACCTCTGATGAACAATTGTTAAAATAAACCCTACCTATGTATGTTTTCAGACACCGATTATTCAGTGTCGTTTCACTCTAATCCACCCCAAGGGAATTATTGATAAGAACTTGGGTTACTCCTCTCCCCTTTTTCTGGGGTGGGTCGTAACAAAGGCCTGCAGCCCACGCAGAGCACAGGGCAGAGCTGCAGGCCCTGCAGCCGGGCTGTCAGTCCAGGCAGAGCTGCCTGGTAGCCCGACCACACCATGACCCCTGGAGCCTGTGACTGCTACAGCACAACTCACTCTGGCCTGGAAGGCAAGGACAGGATATCCTGCCTGGGAGGGAAAACTGAACTCTATAGAGTATACATGAGGCTCCATGCGGCTTCCCTCTTGTCTCCTCTGTCTCTTCTCCCTCTCCAGCTGGCACCATGTGAATCCTAGAATCTTGTCGGTAACCACTTTTTTCCTTCTCTCTCCTTCTCTCTTTCTTCTCTCTTTCTTTACCCCTTTTAATCTGTTTTTTTTTCTCTTACTCCTTCTCTTGTGGTAACTTAAAACCAATGAACTGTGTTCTACTAAAGCTGGTATATGGATTGTTTTTAGTGGGCGTTTCCTGTGGAATATGTCTTTGTGCTGAATGTTTTTAGTGAAATGCTTTTTTTGTGGTTGTATTTTACTCCTGTAAAAACCTTTTGCCAGAATATCCTATTTTTCTCGCTAAATTAAAAAGAATTTCTCTTAGAGAAGAGTGTGTGACTCTTTCTCTGGACACTAATTAGAGCTTATAATGAACCAAAAGGTTTTTAAAAGTCTTAAATAAAAATGTAAACCACTCTGGGCAGTTTATAGCTTAATCCAGAGCACGACACCAGTTCCCTGAATAACTGCAATATCTAAGTTCTAATAGGGAATTTTTTAGTATATTGAGAATCCTTAACCAATTCTAGTTGGAAAGTGAAATGGTTAAGTAATGCCACTGACCAGTGATGTAGATAAATCAATGATTTATTGTAATTTCACCCAGACTTCTGTACCTCTGAGTCTTTGTAGAAAAATGCACATCTTCAGCTTCAACCTACTATCCCTTGAAGTTTTTTAAGAACATTCTGGAGAATATTTATTTCCTCCTTTCTTATTTTTTAAACTTCTTATCTAAAAGAATCAGAGTTTTCCCATAACTTCTATCTGGCATAAAACTCAAACACTGTTTTTCTAGGTACATCTACGTTTATATTGTCATTCATCATGGCAGAGATATGTGAAAATAGCTCCATATTTCATTTTGTTGTATCTGTGCAGTAGTAATGGGAACATCTTTGACTCAATTCCCTAGTTTAATGGAATTGTGGCTACCCTCTATCTCAAGGTTTCAAAACTCACTTCATGCTCACAATAACTCTCAGACTTGATGATGCCAGCCACTTTTTATTGCTCTATTCAGAATAAAATATAACTATAAATGCTAGACTTTTAATGCTGTGCATATCACCTGTAGTCTGGTAATTTGGGCACTGGAGCTCTTTGTCATCTTTATACATTTGAGATGCTCCTGTGTTGAAACATCAAGGGAAATCTGTATTTTTAAGGCAAGTAATTTACTTAGAAGTATATGAATTGCATATTGGGATTTAATAGTAATTTAGAAAGTATCAGAGTAATAAGATTAAAATAGGACTGCATGTGAAAAAACAGACTAGAAAAGAAATTATCCAGGGTTAAAAATAGAAGGTTTTTTTATGAGGCAAGAAGACAAAAAAGCTGCTAAATTTGCTACAATTAGAAAACTGGTAAATGTTCTTAAAAATGCCATATGAAAACTCTGGGAGCATGCAATAATTTTTAAACATTGTTAAGCTGGTTTTGGTCCTGTGCTTTGAAAGGACACCACCAACTTTAAAAGTATGACTTATTTGATTTTTTTCATGCTGCATCAATATTTCCTGGAATAAAGATAATGTTGCTTATCTATCCATCTGCAATCTGTACTGAGTCCCTTTATTGAAGAGGCTTTATCCTTCTGTGGGGAGATCAGCAGATACCTCTAGGGTAACACTTTCAGAATTTATCATTGATTAACTGTGCAACCAGCAGGGAAGCTTGTAAAACAGAAAGGTAGTGTAAAATTTCTTAAGCTGAAAGAATCCACTTGCTGTAAAGGTCTTGTTTCCAGGTCATCTGAAATACTCGACAAATTACAAGTTGTCAGTATCACCTGGTACTTGATCATCCCGTGTACTTTTCCGCAGGCTTTAAGTGGACATCTCTTATATAGAGAGGTTCCTAAATTACCTGAAACCTAATCAGAAATCCATCTGGTACAAACTCACAATAAGTTGCTAGGTGTGATTCACAAAAATCCCATTATGTGTTTTCCGAAGCACATTATTAGTACCTTTCTTGCATGCTTTCAGAGGTGAGACATAGCTTGCTTTTATGCCAAAGCATTGGGCCAACCCCATTATGCTAATAGTGATGCTGCTTAGATGACCCAGGAAAATGCACACTGAGTATGTTCTATCACCTGGCTGCGCACTGAAGAAGGGAAATGGGAAAAGACCTCCTCACAAACACCAGACCTTTATAATGGAGACTGACAATGTCTTACTGCATCAGTTGGAATCAAACATATCACCATCATCTGATCATCAAAAGTCTTGTCAGACTCAATTACAATCTAATCAGTAATTATCTAATACTTTACTGGGAAAAAGAATCTAAAAACATTAACACCTACAATAACCACAAGCATGTTTAGCATTCAGATCAGAATGGTTTTGTGAATACTTTTTCATGTAAAACCCTAGCCTCTTGGAAGCCTAACATTCCCTTGAAGCAAAAAGTTTTAATGGACCTGTTGAACAAGATTAAAAAAAAAAAAAGAACACAAACACTAAGAGTGAGCCGTCGGGTTTCAGTCTAGCATGGAGAATGGCTCAGCTGCTCAAATCTTTTTTCTTCTAGTCTCATATGATTTGCTAAGCAAAGAGCAGGAAGAGATATGAACACTTCCATTAAAGTCCTGCAACACTGGGCATATTTTTTTTTCACTGCTTTGCTGACTTTAGGCAGTCCTTCTAATCGCAAACCCTGTAAGAATCATGAATAAATGATCTCTTCTTTCTCCTGCTTGGAAAAAGGAGCTTATGGAAGTCTCAGTGGGTTTTGTATTTAATGATACATTTGGAGAAGCATCATTTGCCTTCTGGTTTGTAAGTCATGCTTTGAAGCTTCTTGTGGCAACAGGTTTCAAAAGGAAAAGCTGAGATTTTTAATAGTTTTTATTCTGAAGGAGCTGGAGAGGTGACCAACCTGCAAGCAGTTTGTAATTAGAAGGCATAAGCTGCTGAGAATTTTCAGTGCTCTACCTCATAATTCCATGTGGTTAATTTTGTATTCCCACTGTACCAGATCACCCAACAAATCTCGTGTTCCTGATTACTTTCCTATTATCTTAGCCAGAGTATGTTAGCAGGGATTTTTCATTTGTTTCTTTTTACTGGGTCTGCAGAGGATCTTGAACATTTAGATAATTACCTTTGATGTATAAATCCTTTCTTTGCCCTATTTGGCTGCATTTCTGATTCTTTTTAAGTTTCTCTGTTATTGTTTGTTCATAATTACATTAATGTGCTAGTGCTATTTTCATTTTAATGTCATTAATTGTCACATGTTTCTCAAAATTAAAATCCGGAACCCACTAAAGAAGTGTTCAGTTGTGCTACAGTCACTGCTGTCTTAGTAACAAGAGAAAAATAAGATTTTTTTCTCCTTTAAATTTTTATTGCCTTATGATGTAAAAGACTGATTAGAGAACAGATTGATAAGAAAGCTTAACAATTCTTCTAAAACTATCCTGAGTGCTCATGTATGACTTTCTGAGACAGGTAAAAATCAGATGGCAGCATGATTTGCACTGTCTTAAAAATTCCCAATTCCACTAGTGGAGGGGTATAGTACTAAAACTATCACCTATGATAGTTGGTTACTGAGGGTCCTCTTCTGCTTTCATGAAAACTTACTTGATTTTCTGAGGATGTGGATAAGCTGGTATAAAACTAAGAGCTACATGTCATTTAGAGATTCAACAACTTTATGTTAAACTTCAACAACTTTAGTCTGTGCAGATGCATTAACATCATGGAAACCTAGACTACTGCTTCCCAAGGTGGGAGAGTGTCAGAAGAGGACAGGGTCACAGCTTACAAACAAACCAACCACTTCTGACAGAATTCAGAGCTGCATACAGAAAGCCTGGGGACCTTTTGCATTTGCATATCTGTGCAAAGCCATCCCACAATATTTCTTGTGCAGAAAGTGTTACAGATAGATTATAATGAGTTGAACTGGTATTCCCTCCCCTCAAGTAGTAATAATAATATTTTTTAAATATTTGATTGGAGGCTATTTTAACTCAGTTGCTTCTATTCCTTGTGAAATCAGGATTGCTGTTTTCTCTCATGTTCCTCTCCCTGCCTTCAAAATATCATATTTCACATGAGCCAGTCATCAGGGAAGCAGGTCTAGCATGCATGCATGCATATTTTTTGATAGCAACAATTCTGGCAGAAGTTATATGTTGAGATGTGCTGCAGTTGTATAGCCAGTTGTGAGACATTTTCACAGCTAGCAAATACATTGATAACTAATTCAGCTTTAAAGGATTTGGATCAGTTCTTCAACTCATGAAAATCAATGCATTTCTATCACAGTGGAAGGAACTATGCCTATTTACCTCCTTGCAGGCCTTAGGTCTCTGTAATAAATTTGACATTTACATTTTAAGCATCATAAATCCACAAAAGTGTCCTTAACTCTGCTAGAATGTTTCAGTATCATGTAGGGGTCACAGGGCTCATGCCCTAAATCAGGAAAACAATTAACCACTAGACTGTTTGAGGTCACCCATGAGCAGGAAAATAATTAGGTCTAGATTCTCATAGATAAAAAAATTAGCTGCCAAAATACACAGATGGAATTTTCAAATAATGCTTAATAAGTTGAGATGCCTAACTCATATTGATTCTTTTGAAAATCTGACCTTTAGAGCTTAATTTTAAGCTTTCCCATTATGGTTTAAGAGGGTGTGAAAACTTAAGTATGTACTTCAATGCGTTTCTTGTAGGAAGACTCTTCCATAGATA